ATAGTTTCTTAAAATCTTCCATTCTCACTGACTATGTCTAGCAGCCATACAGAAGCGGAGTTTCGTTTTTATAGTGATTTAGTGACGAGTCTATGAAGGTTTCAGTAACCGGAAGAAAGATTTCTAGCTGCCATTATCCGAATTGTAATTTCGTCTTTCGATTGGCTATTTAGGATTAGAGTAGATCCGAGATATATTAAAGTCTGGCAACGAATTGATAAAAGTAGGTATTTTATAAGCATCTTATATAAAAGAAAAAATTACTTTCATTTTATTTACATTGTTCCTGAGTCCGATTTTTGCTGCAGTTGTCGATATTGTTTAGCATTATTTGCATCTCATGCAATTATCAGCAAAAAGGACCCAATCATCAGAGTATCTGGAACACTATACTTTGGACTGATTTCCACACCTCTTGAATGCCGATAAGCAATGCCCATTATCCAGTCTATCGCATAGTTGAATAGTACAGAGGAAAGGATGTAACCTTGACGGACAGCAGTTCTTATCTCAAAAGGATAAGTCACCCATATACACAGGCCTGCGCCGATGCTAATATAACGTTTTCATAAGGCGAATGATCTTCTCTGGAACACCGCCACATTCCATCACTCTCCAAAGCGCTGCTACATCAATTGAATGAAGGCAGCTGCAAAATCAATAAAACATGTTACGGTGGGTTATTGATATTCAAAGCGGTATTCCAGCACCCCTTTTAACATGGATATCTGGTTAGCACAACCGCGTCCCGATTTGAATCCAGCTTTGTTAGGGCGTATCCTGCTGTCTCGCCATAAATCTATTCAGCGGGAGGGAAGCAAAAATTTTCCTAAAGATGTTTAGAAGGCTGATTTCTCGATAATTGTCGTAGTTTTTCCTGTCACTTTCTTAGGAATTGGAAATTGCTTTACCCCAATCATTTGGCATTATTTCATTCCTCCATAGAGTCATTTGTTGTTGATATGAAGGACGATGGAAAACACTTGAAAACTTCGGCCGAAAACTCTCCAAGAGTTTTACTAGCCTTAAGTTTCTGGATAACAGATTATTTCCTCTTTTGTTGGCGGTTTACAATTGTAAACATATGATTCGACGAGCGAATCAGCTATGTCCAGAATAACAGATGGCATATCGTAGTTAAGTTTGGCCTCAAAGAATTCCTCCCATCTTACGAGGCGAGGAATAACCTTAAAAGACGCCCCATTAATATCTTGTACCATTTTACTTTTCTCGAAGTATAGTTGCTTTGTGAAGAAGGCAAATTTCCTATTATCACCTATCCGAGCCGCCGTCTCCATTCTCAAGGCCATTTCGCTACAGTAGATATTTCTGTCCCACCCTGCTGCAATTAATTCTTCGAACATTTGAGCTTCGGCAGCTTTTTCAGACGGCTGGACAATTACTTTTGATACCCAGCTAGCGCATTTCCTACTAGCATAATCTAACGTCTATGAGACTTTCGGAGACATTTTTTAAAACATTGATATAGCCAGTACTTCTGCTCGGAGCCAAGTTTGGACAAAATCCAAAGTATCGAAGACGAATCTTCAACAAGCAATATTTAAAAAGAGTGAGGACAGTGATCGCTTGGCTTGCGACGTCCATAAGCATTCTGCCGTTCCATGCTGCTACAGCTGATACTTCGCTGCATGTGCAGAGAGCCGTTACCCTTGACAGATTTTAAGCAGTTATCGTAGCTCGCGAGCAGACCATATTCTTGAATCTTGAGCTCATTTGACTATGTTCGGATTGCGTAATTATTGCATGCACCACCAGGCTGAGAACATCATGGGTGTGATGCCGTGTCAAGAAGACTTAACTCCTTCATCTCTTGGGGACGTAATTACAGGTGGGTCCCCAGCAACCACCTAGATTTTTGTTATCATGGCAGGTTTACTCCTATCAAAGACAAAAACAACAAAAAATTAAGGAAGGATGAAAAAATAAACTAGAAAATAAAAATTTAATATATATATATATATTCACTATTTCACTATTTATATAATTCATTTATTTACATGCAATATATATTTATATATAATTTAATTGGTTTAATGTATAATTTATTTCAATTTTTGTTCGAAAAAAAGTTAAAATTTAAGAGAGCTTATCAGAATTGCTATCAGAAATTTTAAAAAATAATTCACAAATAAAACAAAATAAATCGATTTTCTTGAAACGACCGCTCGCCATATTTAATTTAATAAATTTTAATTATCTATAGTAAGCATTTGATTATAATGTATAGGAGTACTCCAGATCCTGCAAGCATTAGGGTTATGTTGGCGATTCACCTCTCCTTCCATTGCCGAGTGACTCGGCGGCAAAATTTGTCTCGCTCAACCAGCCTGCTTTGCGAAATTAACCAAAAATGGTGAATGCTCTAATAAACAAAAAGAAAATCTCATATAAAATTTGTCAAACACATTCGTTTTTTTTGCCATTTATATCATAATATAGGCATGAAAGATTCAACGACTAATCCGAATTTAGTTACAAGCATATAAATCGGCCAAGGTTTCTCATTTCATATGAGAACAGCAAGAAAAGGTGAAGCTTCGAAACTTAGAAGCGCACCATAACCTTGCTCGTGGGACATTATTATCCGAAACCAATCCAATGTTAGGGAACTCCGCAAATTCATATGCTTCACATATTCCAAAATGAATTAATGCTACGAGTGAATAGATTGTCTGATTTTAAAATAACCAAGTTTACGAAAAAAATATATTTATTTCACCAAATGCCCAATAAACGTTACATATTTAAATATATATATGCATATATGAATTATAAATTATCAAAAAATTATATAAATTATAAATTATCAAAATTATCAAAAAATTAAAATTCCTAAAAGATGATTTAATGGGCAAATTATTACAAAAATTTCTTTACGGGTCCGTACTCTTCCTTAACTGGCTTATTACATTTTTGATGGAAAGTTGCTTAAGATAGTAAGGGTAACTCCTAAACATCACCTAGACTTTTTAAAGATAAATTCACTCCACTGGCAGGAATTGAACCATAGTATTAGAATTAGAAATGATCCCAAGAAAAAGCAATATGCATTCTCACATTACTTCTTGTAACCAAACATATAAAAATAAACGTTACAAATCAAATTATATGCAAACTGTTAGTAAATTAAGAAAAAAAACTTCATATAAAAATATATTATAACAATAATTATTATAAAAAATGGGCTTACGACAACGATAAGTATATATTCAGAGATCTATTAAAGTACTGATGAAAGGCGAACTGGGTAGAAAGAAATCAAAAATGAGAAAAAGCATCACCCCGCTTAATTTGACACTAACTTAAATTTAAAATTTTCATTTGGAAAAGTTTTCTTAAGGAATCAACATTAAAAAATAAAATAATAACATAAAATAAAATAATCAAACATGAATGCAAATATATCAAAATCATCTACACTTCTCAAAAAAAGATAAATAAAACAAATAAAAACAAGGTAGAAATGATACAATTGTATAAGCAAAGTAACAGTAAATATTATAAATCTATTCAAAAAATTTCAGCAATTCGATAGAAATTTAGAAATTGGTACTGAAAATAATTTAAAATTTGACTGCAATCAAGGACTAGAATGACTAGATTCAAAGGAAAAGATCATTCACTATTACGCATTAATTGCACAGCTATAACAACTTTTATCTTAGCAGATAATTTCGACAAAAATAAAGAAAAGTGAATTTCCTAAAATTAAAGAAATTTCCAAGGAAAAGAAAAAAAACCACGAATGCATAGCAAAAAATAAGACATCTTTTACAGGGCAGTATATCATCAATTACAGTTTCAATTTCGTTCAATCATTTTCACAAAAAAAAGAACGAAGACCTGGAATCTATAAGTGGCAGCCTCGAACTATGCATACAAATCAAAACTGAGGTATTTCAATGAAAAAGAAAATGAAAAACCAAAAAAAGAAAAACTAGGAAAAAGCGAAGAAATGTTATTATGGTTCAAAAATTCGATATATTTAGAGCTATATATTTAGAACTATTGAAATTCTCAAACATTCATTCGACATTCGAAATGCTATTTTATTAACGTACAAATATGAAAATATAGGAAAAATTTAAAATATTATATTTTCAAAATATTTTCTAAGACACTAAAAAAATTTTAAAATAATAAAAATATAACAATAGGTTGTCAATTTAGAATTTCCCTAGTATATTTTTTCCCATAACACATGAAATAAAGCTTAGAATTCAATAGCAAATAAGATTTTTTGTATAAAAATGAATCATTCAACATCGAAATACAGTGAAAATTTTCCGAAATAAAATTTAGAACGAATTTTCAATTATCGCACATTTCATTCAGGTAATCATTCAATTTTATAATTGCATTTACAAGATTTTTATCAAAGTTATCAAAGTTAAGAAAAAAATGAATATATAATACATACATGTATATATAAAGAATATATAAGAATAATATAATATATATATAAGTAATTATGGTAAGAGCAAATGATAATAATGATAATAACGTATGAGTAATAATAATGCAATATGTAATATAAATATATATAAGAAATATATAAGAAAAAAACAAATAATTTTTGCCAAAAAATTGTATAAATCAATCTCCATTTTAAAGATGGAAAGATGGAGATACGGTTGGAAAATAAGATAATGGAGAAACATTCTGCTGTCGGATAGCTTTTACCTGAAATGGAATAATATTGAATAAACAAACAAATAAATAAACAAATAAATTAAAAAAATAAATAAATAAAACTGAATTATTAATCATAGTTAAAAGTTAAAATTTAGCAGGTTAGCTATAAACACAAAGAGTCATAATAAAAATAAAAATAAACTGAGGAAGCAAGCGGATAGGATGAAAAACACTCATATAATTTGAAAAATTCAAATAAAATTATAAATGAAATTCATTGCTGAACATAAAAATTTAAATGGATTGAGTAAATATGTTTCGGATTCATATCACATGAATAATGATTACGACCAAATTAAGTAAATAAAATAATATAAGATAATAATAAAATGGAAAAAAATAAAATAACAGAAAATAGAAAAGAAATGTAACTGAGATCTGGAAAAAAAATAAAAAAAAGTGCTAAAAATTAAACTTACTTCATCGTTATAGATGGGATTCTTCATCATACGATCTCTGATATGAGACAACAGAAATCCAAGCAAATTGTTGCCTCTCCATTTCGAAAAATCGCAAACATCAGGTTCATCCATACCGCGCCCTATTCCCCAAATGCAATCTCTAGGATTGCACTCAACCAAAACGGTTTTTTCTGTACGAAATAACTCCATACGAAGCAAAGGATTTTGTTGATACTGAAATAAAAGTGTATATGCAAATAAAAATCTAGAGAAGTAAATTATTTAAAATAATTTTAAAGCAATGACCTTACGAACATTTGCTATAGCCATAACTTGTAATGCAACTCGATGCCATAAAGATTGATCAAAATTTTTAACTCTTGATCCGATAGCCTTCATATGTTTAGGATCCTTTGTCAGCAGAATTTCCTTAACAGCTTGTTGATCATTAAAATATCCTAAAAAAAGAAAACAGCCAATTTTTGAGAAAAATGGAATATATTTGCATAATTTTCCACAAACTTTGATTTAAATTTTTCTAAAGAAAAAAATTTCTATTTCTCAAATTAATCCTAATAAATACAAAAAATTTATTATTAGAAATATTACTGAATATTACTGAAAAATGCTAAAAACGAATTTAACACTAAAAGAACTAACTTGCTTTCCAGTACATATAGTACTGCTCAGTGCAAACGAAATTCATTCCATCAATATGAAGATTTTCACAGATATGGTGATTGCTAAACACATATTTGTCTGTGAAAAATAAAGAAAGCCATTTACCATCGGTTGTACTTTTGACTGTTGGCTTGAGAAACTATAAACAAAATTTTAAAAAAATGGTAAAAAAGAAATGAGTACAAATTTAAATATAAATTTAATATAATAAATAATATAAATTTATATTATATTATACTATATTTATATTAATATAAATTTTAAATTAAACTTAAGATTAAATTAAACCTAAAACTAAAATTAAATTAAAATTTAAATTAAATCTGAATATAAATTTTTCTTGATAAATGAACTTTCGAACTAAATTACATCATAATATAAAATTAATTTTGTTTTTTCAACGTACAGGTCGATAAATTTTCGTTGTTTGCGAGTTTGAATGCACGATTTGGTCCCTTGATGAATTTAAAAAAAAACTAGTCATTAACCAAGGCGCGTTAAAATCGTGAAAATCATGAGTCGGCTGTTTATAAATATTTTGTATGGGTGCAACTGCTGGCAAATTCTGTTCTGTCCAATCTCTTCAAATAAACCATTGAAATAACTAAATTCTCGGGATATCTCGACTTAGTTTTTTATTTTTTTAGAAACTGGAATAAAAATGAAGGTTTTAAAATTAGACTGAGAAATAAATAAATTTTTGAAATAAATTTTTTAAAAATTAATGCTGATAAAAGTGCTCTAAAATATTCTCTTGCAAATATCCGAAAAAAAGCCTTTATCCTCAATTGTTCCAAAGAATATTAAAAATTTACGTAAACGTGTAAGCGACACCACGCGTAGGATGGAAGAGCTGCAATATTCAATCAGTCAGTCATGCGCTTTCCTTTCCCCTTTTCCATCTCATTTCCTTTTACAGCTTCTGTTTCAGTTTCACTCAAATCAATCTTCATCGCAGCAGAAATAATCCAGGCTATTGATAAAATTTCCTTACCAATAATTTAGAATAATTTTGTCTGTTCCCTCACACCAACTAAATCCGTCATTTCTTTGTCATGGCCCTGCTATTTCTGTAATATTAAGCGGAGATAACTGTTCTTTAAGCAGGTCGAAAAAACCGATTTAATAAATTGGAAAAATCCGAAAAAACTATTTATGAATCTTTTTAAAAATTTTGAAAAGAATACCTTTGAGATAAGTAATAAGCATTTGAAGTAGAAGGAAAGATAACAGGTGCAAGTGATAAAAAGCTGTATGCTTGAGAGTCGAGCGATGAATCCATAAACTGCACATCTGATGAATTCACTGGATAAGCCATGAAGACTTACGACTAAAAATTTAAAAAATAATTAGTCCACTTTGTAGCAAAGAAATCCAAAATAATTTTTGAACAAATATTATTGCAGTCAACAATAAAGTAATAAAATATGCACGAATTTAAAAGAAATTTAACAAAATGAATAGCATATGAATAGCATCATCTCATCGTCAATTACAAGTGATAACCATATTAAAATAATGACGAAATAGTAAACAGACGTATAATAAATAATAGCAAAATAATGGAAACAAACAAAAACACTTAAAAGGAAAAGCAAAGCAAATTCGTTCATGAATATGCTTATCATAATAATTCGAAGAATGGTTGGCGCTCATTTCCCGTTCCACTGCTTATTAGTACGAAGAGGAAAATAACCTTTGCCAGTTGAGGAGAGAATTACAGGTGGCTGCAAAGTACTAAACGAATTTCCAATGAGGAATTTATTCTTCTTGAGGATCCAAACTTTATTACTACAGACGACTATCTGAACAACAGAAATATCTTTCAGTTGCTATCAACTGCTTCGTTATTACGAGTCATTTCTCTAACGCACCATTTTCCGCATTATGTAAATGATAAAAAATTATCAATAAAGGGCAAAAATTTTACTGATAGATTATGTAAATTTGATAATACTGATAAATTATTAAAGTCAATAAAATATTGAAATTTAATTCAGTTATTAAAGAATTTCTGGCTAAAATTTTAGATTCGCCTGAAACTTAATAGAGAAAAATTTAGAAATAAAAACAAAATTTTATAAAAACCAACGAATCAAACGATTCCCACTGCAGAAATATTCGTTCATCGATCAGAGATTAAAAGAAATAAGGAAAGAAAGAAAATAATCACCTGACCACGACTACTAAATCGCAGCCATCGGATGATTAACGATTAATGGTTTTTCGGTTAATTTGTGATAAATCAGCTATTTTTCTAACGTAAGTGTGAAAACAAAGAAGGAAATAGAGAAGCACATAAATATTCGATACATCGTGCAAAAAAATAAAAAAATCCAACTGTATAATGACAGCACACACAAATTGTCTGCAATTTAGCAAATTAGACGAGGAACGCGTGGCTTCCGAAAATAACGACGGGCCGCGATTATTCTAGCCACGTTTCATTGGGTCGCAATGGTCATCATGAACAGCTTAAGCATAAAAGTTTTTTGTTCTCTGCAGAAGTTGCTTTTTCCTTCAATAAAATCTTCTAACAGCGCTCGCCATTGCTGGTTCGGCTGGCTGGTTCCATTGGCCACAAGGTTACGACGACCCCAAGCGGCGCGGTTTGGCGCTATCGTCGGCCATTCCTTTTTCCATCTTCTAAGTCGATATATTGCTGGTCCACCTATACATTCAAAATCTTTCCTGGCCTGGTATCAGTCGAGGTCTTGAGTGGCCCACCTCGCTTTTGACGCCAACCATTACACGGTTTAGCAAGTATTGAAATATGGGTCAACTCCTGTGATGTACGACAAAGAACGTACTCTAAGCGGCGTTCTGTATTTAAGAGAAGGTGGATGCAGCCATGTGAGGTATTATCCGCTCGGTGGACCTATTAGAATGAGTGGTCGAAAGATAACTTCTTAATATCCTCCACTTAAGTTGATACGGTCATTCATTTTTATGGTGATTCTGCAATGACTCCATAAAAGTTTCGTCAATCGGGTGAGCGCTGCAATTTTATCTTCCGCTTGGCCATGTGGGATCAAAAATCTGTAAAGTCTGGCGCTTCCTCAACTGTGGATAAATTGATGAAAATAGATATTTTATCAGTTTCTGGTGTATAAGGCGAAAAGATTTTTATTTACATTCCGATGAGTTTCGCAATTTTCGATACAACTGTTTAGCATTATTTGTGTTTCTATAACTGATAACTATCAGCAAAATGGGCTACGTCATCCAAGATCTGTGGTATACTCTATACTCTAGAATGTATATATTTAAAATGCCGGCAAGCGATCTTTCGCAACCCATTCTATCGCATAATTCAATATTGTAAGGGAAAAAACGCAACCTTGATGGACACCAGTTCTTATTTCAAAGAAATCTGTCATACATATATATGGCAATGTACGCTGGTGAAATGCCTTTATGAGTCGAATTTACGATCTGCCGCCACATTCCATCTCCATCCAAAGCGTTTCTCTATTAATTGAATCGAAGATTGTTTGAATGGAAAATCGATGAAAAAATAGTATGGAGGTGGATTGCTGATATTTGAAGCGATCTTCCAATGCCATTCTTAACATAATTATCCGATCAACACAGTCCTGGTCTGAATGCAGCTTGGTTAAGGCGCATTCTGCTGTCCCGTAATGCCATAAATCTATTGAGTAAAAGAGAAGCAAAAATTTTCTCTGAGATGTCTATTCCTAGTTAATTTGACATCGAAGATTCCTTTCACCTTTCATAGACCGAGTTATAGTCGAAGTAGTTTGCTATTATCACATAAATGAGCAACCATCTGAATTTTTAAGACCATATCGCTCCAATAATGAATCCACTGCTGTGGTGCTGTCGTTATAATTCTTCGAAGCATCCAGTAGCCAAGATCCTCTGACGTGCTTTGACAGCCTTTTCATACTGTTAGAAAATTGCTTTCCTCAGTTATCTCTCTTCCTACTAGTATAGTGAGGTCTTTGACATTTATATCATCGATGTGCTTCAATTATTCGGTTTGAAATGTTCCTATTGTCCACTGAATTTTTAGTTTGAAGTAATTGAAAGATCTTGGGGGTTTCTTGTGAGTTACCAATTTTATCTTAGCTCGAACTGTAACATGGTCAGATTCATGAAGCCTGTTTCATCGCCACGATGGAAACGACAATCTAATATGGAATTCTACTAACGTCGAAGATGTAATCAATATGGTTGGAGTATTGATTATGCGAGGAGTTCCATATGACTACTTCGATGTTCAAAAAAACAAAGAAAGGCAGTTGGCGTACCAGGCTCCTATATTTTCCAGTTATAGATATGGAGCCCATATTGGTAATTACAGCTACATCATGATCATTCGAGCCTAACTCTTCAATCTCCATTTATGACCATATCCTTTCGGGAGAGATGTATTAGAAATTGTTAGGAGTTCCACATATAACTTAATATAGAATTTATCCTTGCCGCGGTATTGATGACTGAAATATTGCAGGACTTCGAGCTTTTTCAGATATGACAATCGCTACTCCATTTCGTCCCGGGTCATCTGAAACACTTCTGCTCGAAACCAGTTTTAATTACCCGAGATCCAAGTGACAAAGACGGGCCTCTAACAAGGAGGTGACATCTAAACGATATTAAAAGAGTATGGAAAATCATCTGGCTCTTTTGCAAAGGCATCCCAGGCTACTGCGGTTAATATCTCGCAGCACTTGCGGAAAGCCATTTCTTTTGGCAAGTTTTAAGCAATTGTAAAAGATCTAGTCATGTGGAACTCTCCGGGCAACCAGTGTTCCAATCAGGTATCTTGGTCATTCGCTGGAAAAATTCTATGCTTGATAGTCGTTCTTATCGGGGTACTAAAACTGGTAATCACCATCTTTTGGTTCGAGCCAAGATTTGTATAAAATTGACAAGTCGCTAGGCAAAGTATGAAATTGTAACCCGGATAACGATAGCTAGAAATATGTGAAATATGTTGATGCTTCTTAATGCAGCCATTGCGGAATCATCATAAAAACGAAAGAATGCATCTATTTAGCTAGTCTTGCTAAATGGTTCCAAAACATAGCCAGTGAGAGTGAAAAATATTGAGAAGTTATCAGCTTTCATGTCTAAGGTATTTCCTACATATCCGCCGAGCGGATAAAAAAA